TACATATACATATACATATATATATATATATATATATATATATATATATATAAAGCTTACCTCATTTTCTTAAACTAATTATTCTATCTACAAAATCAAACATCCATTTGGTTGATTTAAAAATTCGTTTACAAATTTAACTTTACTTACTAGATAATTTCACCCACGACACTAAAAAATAATCTGGAGTGCAAAAATTGTTAATGAGTAGAATGAAAAAGAAAAAGAAATAATCAATTTTGTTTTTCTCAAAGACGGAGCATTATTAATAGTTTCATCATTGTTTAGTAGCTTCTTCCTATCTATAAAACTACTAACCAATTAATTTGTGAATAAATCATAGCAAAAAGAATTAGCATAAGTAAATCAATTCAATGAGCTGTGTATCAAATTATAAAAGAAGAAAAGAGAGAGAAAGAGAGAGAAGAATTTAATTTTATTAAATTTCTATGAATAGAAGAAAAGAGAGAAGAAATAAAATAGAAAAAGCACATATTCAAACTCAAACAGAAAATAACCATAAATCCTACAAAAATAAAAGAGTGCACATTGTTACAATAAAAAAAAGTCAAGGCCATAACAATGTTTTGATAACAAAAACAAAAACTAATTACATGTCCACTACAAAATCATCTCAACTAAACTACCCCAGAAAATACATATTGCATGAAGATTACATATAAAACTAGGACCAGACAGAAGAAAAAATTAGATTATCTAAATAATATTTTATTAAACAGTTTTGTCAAAATTTGAACCTGTGAATTGGTTTTTCTTATTTTATCAATGATTTTTTTTCAAAATAATATATAATATAAATTTTAAAATATAAATTTATTAAAACAATTTGCTAAATATATTATACTAAAAGACTACATTACTTAAATATGGAAAATCACCTTGTTCAACTATTACAAAATTCAAAAACCAATATTAAAAATTATATATATATATCTTTTATCAAATATAAAATTTCATCTAAGGCTCAAGTGTGATCTATAGAGCATTTGGTCCATCAAGTACCTTACATCGTTGATTGATGTGAAATGCGCAACAACGTTACTGTTAGTGGATCAAATTTAATGTGCGACATTGTGAAAAACAAATAGCGTATCAAACTAAACAAAATAAAATAAAATATTTAATTTATGACATTTGAAACTAAAATTTTCAATTTATTTTTAATATATTATTGACAACATCACCAACTATCAAAAAAAAAATTTAATCATAATTTATTTTTAAAGTTTATATCAATTTAACCTACATTTATGTTGTTGTGAAGAAAAACTTTTCAAACAATATTATCTTACAAAAATAAAATCTTTGAAACATAATTTATATAGGTAGAATCTATCTAAGATAGAGTTTATTTTAGGTAGAATCTATACGAGGTAGAGTATATTTGAAGTAGAGTCTATTAAAAGTATAGTTTATCTAAAGTATAGTCAATTTGGAGTAGAGTTTATTTGAGATAGAGTTTATGAATAGAGTCGATATGAAATAGAGTCTATATGGGATAGAGTCTATATGGGATAGAGTCTATTTGGAGTAGAGTCTATTTGGGGTAGAGTCTATATGGGGTAGAGTCTATCTTGGGTAGAGTTTATATGAGGTAAAGTTTATCTTAGGTAAAGTCTATATGGGTAGAGTCTATATGGAGTAGAATTTATCTGAGATTCTATCTAGGGTAGAGCCTATCTAGGGTAGACTCTATATGGGATATAGTCTATATGGGGTAGATTATATTTGGGATAGAGTTTATATGGGATATAGTCTATATATTTGGGATAAAGTCTACATGGGTAAAGTCTATCTATGGTTGAGTGTATATGAGGTAGAATGTATATGGGTAAAGTGTACATGGAGTAGAGTCTATATGAGATAGAGTGTATCTAGGGTAGAGTCTATATGAGGTAGGGTTTATCTAGAGCAAAGTCTATTTAGAGTAGAGTCTATTTGGGATAGAATCTATTTGTGATAGAATCTATTTGGGATAGAATCTATATAGGATATAGTCTATCTAGGGTAGAGTCTATCTGAGGTAGAGTCTATACAAGTAAAGGCTATCTAAGATAGAGTCTATTTTGTGTAAAGTGTATTTGGGTAGACTGTATCTAGGATAGAATCTATCTAAGATAGAGTCTATCTAGGATTGAGAATATCTTGGATAGAGTTTATTTGGGATTGTGTCCATTCGAGATAGAGTTGATATAAAGTCTGTCTCAATATTTTAAAATATAAGAATACTTATATTTTATAATATTTTAAAATAATATCTAAATAAAATTACATAAAAAATATATAAAATAATATAAATTAAAATTTAATTTTAAATAAATTGAATCTAATAAAATATAAATTAACTTAAATTAAATTAAAATTAAAAATTAAATTTTTATTTAAGGTTTTTATGGATCACGAATATTCACAATAAATTTTTGTGATTACTGTCTGTTTACTGTGAATTTTATATGTTAATATCTGTTAAATAAGAGTATTTTTTTTAGCAATCTAGATGGACAGATATCAAAATTACACTAATTCATGTTTTTAAATTTCAGGTAAAATTATCTTGTATATTAGGAGTTATATATTTAGGGTCACCCAAAAATTTTAACCATCTTAAATTTTATGTGACTTCCTAAAAAAATGTTGGTCTCTACATTTGAATCTGGTTCACCATATACTATAAAATCACATAATCACTTTGGTTCCACAGTGTAGTAGAAAATCATCTGATATTTTTTAAGTGCAATAGGCAAATTATTACATCTTGTCAAATGGTGTGTATGACTATTATTAAAGTATGATAATGCAAAATAAAATCACCATTAAGTAAGATTTTATTTGCCTAACGTGGTTTAATAGCTTTTAATTAGGTAAAAAGAAAAAAAAAATCACAACATGATCTTTTTTATAAGACATAATGATAAAAATGTGCAAATAAAAATCATAAAATATTGAACAGATAAATTTAAATGCACAAAATAATTTGATTAATTTGTATCGTTGTGTGTTATAATAAGTTGCAATTTTTAGAATTTATTATGACAATAATATTCTTTTATCATAACTGTTTTCTATTATTTTTTATTATAAATATATTTATCAGATTAAAACAGTTTATCATTATTTAAATTTTAATGTTTTAATATATAATAACATATCTTTTAGTATTTTTGTAACTTATTGTAATTTTAATGATACTTATATTTGATGTTATTTTAATATAGTAGAGTGAAGTAGTAGTATTTAAATGAATTATTTTATATATTAAACAAATATCTACATTTTATATTTAAGTTTAATGTTAATGAGTTGGCTGATAAGTTTTTCATCATTAAACTCTTGAAAATATTTGTATAATAATTTAAATTATTATGTTGTAAAGGCTTTTAATATAATTTTTTATATAATAAATTTTATTAATATATTGTAAGCTTTTTTAACTATAGCGTAAGAATTTTGTATTAATTTATTTAAATCTATTATATTTAAAAGCTGTTTCCTATTTACTATTTTGCTATTAATATTCATGTTTGGTTGAGATTCTTGAAAGAATTGAATGAATATAAATATAAATACAGGTATGAATGTATATAAATAGGTTTAAATTGGATATAGGAAACTGTCTCTCGATCTCTATCTTAATTTAAATTACAATAATTTATTAAACAATTTAAACTTTGTGAATATATCATTTCTTGATTCTAGTTTCATAACATTTTTTTTCCAAAATTTTTTTCCAAATTTAAATTGGATAGGAAACATCTCTTACTTGAAAATTATCTATCACCTGCATATTTTTTTTCCAAATTTTCTTAAAACAACAATTTATAAAATATACTTGTAATTTTTATTGTGAAATATTCTTCATAAAAACATCTATAATTTTTTTTGAATTATTCATTTCACACTGACCAAAAACAAAGCATTTAATGTATGCAAAAGAAAAAGATAGGTCTTAAATAGGTTACTTTTATATTAGGGGAGCTCATGTGCTTTTGCTTCCTCTTCCTTTGTAGAGACTTTCCTGACAGACTCACAAAATTGGTAAAACAAAACAAAGTAAATTTCAGATTGCAACACTAGCCAGTATCCAGAATTATACAGCAAGAACATGCAATTCCCACAAAACATCTTTAAGGTAAACTCAACTCATGCCAGCTAAAGTCTGGAAAATTGAACTCTGTCCATCCAAAACTACCTAGACAAAGCTGATCACTAATGCCAAGAGTGATCTTCTACAATAGGTTAACTTGTATGCATAAGACTTTTAACTGATAAGCAACACCTTAATGCTGTATAATATAGGCCAACAACTTCATGTTTGCAGTGTTAAGCACTTAATATGAATATTAAATAGGTTACATATGATAAATACTCAGCGAGATTCTGATTACATATTTACTGTTAATTAATTCTTGGTAAAAAGATTTTCGGTCTAAGAAAAGTTGGTAAACAAGTGGTTGGTTTAAAGTAGTCTAAAATTTAGAAGGCAAAGGGGAATTAACAAGCTGAATCAACAATAGGATTTATAATCAAATCTAGATTATTTATTTGAATCCTACATTTTTTTAAAATAAAATAATAGTAATAATAATATAATAATAGTTCCGCACAGCAGTTTACTGAATAAATTAAGCTGCAAGGAAAGGAAAATCAAATTCAAACCAAGTTAAGAGCCTAGGATTAGTTTTACTAGTATACATAAAAAACAACAAATAAATGATAGTGAGGGTTTAGAAGTGGTTTTAGCCTTGAGGAACCAAGTAATGAGTTTTTATGTGGTTTTGGAGGGCTTAGGGACAAACATGGTAGGTGTTATCGAATTTATCGTACATGAAGCGAGTGACGATGCTGGTTTTTCCCACCAATTGGTCACCCAAGAACACCAACATAGCTAAAGCTGAAACAGGAGCCATTTCAAAATCGAAAACGAAAGCAAAAGGAGGAATCGGAAGAAGCTGAGAAAAAACCCGATGGTTAGTGAATCCGGACATGCTGCGTCACCATTCTTCAATCTTCGTGCGGATTTTGACATGTTCAGTTCGCAGTGTGCGTTATGTCTATGGCACCAACCATTCCCAATGCGAATGCGACGAGCCTCTGCTCCTACACTACTTATCCAATGGCTGCCACCACGAAGCGCGAAACCTCCTTCAAAGTTCCTCCCGAGGTGACCTTCACGCACGCGTGGTTCGCTGGACCAAGCTACTCTCCAACTTCTCCCGCCATGGTTACGTGGCCGAAGCTCGCGCATTGTTCGACATAATGCCTCACAAAAACCTCGTCACTAGCAATACCATGTTGACAGCGTACATGCGCTCCGGCTTGCTCGACGAGGCTTCCCGGTTCTTCGAGACCATGCTGGAGAAGAACGTTGTTTCTTGGACTGCCATGCTATGTGGGTTTTCAGATGCGGGGAGGATCNATTTTTTTTCCAAATTTTCTTAAAACAACAATTTATAAAATATACTTGTAATTTTTATTGTGAAATATTCTTCATAAAAACATCTATAATTTTTTTTGAATTATTCATTTCACTCTGACCAAAAACAAAGCATTTAATGTATGCAAAAGAAAAAGCTAGGTCTTAAATAGGTTACTTTTATATTAGGGGAGCTCATGTGCTTTTGCTTCCTCTTCCTTTGTAGAGAGACTTTCCTGACAGACTCACAAAATTGGTAAAACAAAACAAAGTAAATTTCAGATTGCAACACTAGCCAGTATCCAGAATTATACAGCAAGAACATGCAATTCCCACAAAACATCTTTAAGGTAAACTCAACTCATGCCAGCTAAAGTCTGGAAAATTGAACTCTGTCCATCCAAAACTACCTAGACAAAGCTGATCACTAATGCCAAGAGTGATCTTCTACAATAGGTTAACTTGTATGCATAAGACTTTTAACTGATAAGCAACACCTTAATTTCTTGGTGTGCTGTATAATATAGGCCAACAACTTCATGTTTGCAGTGTTAAGCACTTAATATGAATATTAAATAGGTTACATATGATAAATACTCAGCGAGATTCTGATTACATATTTACTGTTAATTAATTCTTGGTAAAAAGATTTTCGGTCTAAGAAAAGTTGGTAAACAAGTGGTTGGTTTAAAGTAGTCTAAAATTTAGAAGGCAAAGGGGAATTAACAAGCTGAATCAACAATAGGATTTATAATCAAATCTAGATTATTTATTTGAATCCTACATTTTTTTAAAATAAAATAATAGTAATAATAATATAATAATAGTTCCGCACAGCAGTTTACTGAATAAATTAAGCTGCAAGGAAAGGAAAATCAAATTCAAACCAAGTTAAGAGCCTAGGATTAGTTTTACTAGTATACATAAAAAACAACAAATAAATGATAGTGAGGGTTTAGAAGTGGTTTTAGCCTTGAGGAACCAAGTAATGAGTTTTTATGTGGTTTTGGAGGGCTTAGGGACAAACATGGTAGGTGTTATCGAATTTATCGTACATGAAGCGAGTGACGATGCTGGTTTTTCCCACCAATTGGTCACCCAAGAACACCAACATAGCTAAAGCTGAAACAGGAGCCATTTCAAAATCGAAAACGAAAGCAAAAGGAGGAATCGGAAGAAGCTGAGAAAAAACCCGATGGTTAGTGAATCCGGACATGCTGCGTCACCATTCTTCAATCTTCGTGCGGATTTTGACATGTTCAGTTCGCAGTGTGCGTTATGTCTATGGCACCAACCATTCCCAATGCGAATGCGACGAGCCTCTGCTCCTACACTACTTATCCAATGGCTGCCACCACGAAGCGCGAAACCTCCTTCAAAGTTCCTCCCGAGGTGACCTTCACGCACGCGTGGTTCGCTGGACCAAGCTACTCTCCAACTTCTCCCGCCATGGTTACGTGGCCGAAGCTCGCGCATTGTTCGACATAATGCCTCACAAAAACCTCGTCACTAGCAATACCATGTTGACAGCGTACATGCGCTCCGGCTTGCTCGACGAGGCTTCCCGGTTCTTCGAGACCATGCTGGAGAAGAACGTTGTTTCTTGGACTGCCATGCTATGTGGGTTTTCAGATGCGGGGAGGATCAAAGATGCGAGGAAGGTGTTCGATGTAATGCCTGAGAGGAATGTTGTTTCGTGGAACGCGATGGTGGTGGCGTTGCTTAGGAGTGGGAATTTGGAGGATGCGAGGATGGTTTTTGAGAAGACTCCTTTCAAGAATGTGATTTCGTGGAATGCTATGATTGCGGGGTATGCTGAGAGTGGTAGAATGGACGAGGCTAGAGAATTGTTTGGGAAGATGGAGTTTAAGAATGTGATTACTTGGACTAGCATGATATCTGGTTATTGCCGTGAGGGTGATGTTGAAGGTGCTTATTGTTTGTTCCGGGCTATGCCGGAGAAAAACATTGTTTCTTGGACTGCTATGATTGGTGGGTTTGCTTGGAATGGCTTGTATGAAGAGGCATTGCAGCTTTTTATTGAGATGGTGAGAGTTTCTGATGCCCAACCCAACACAGAGACCTTTGTTTCTCTTGTTTATGCTTGTGGAGGTTTGGGTTTTTGTTGCCTTGGCAAACAGGTACATGCTCAGCTTATTGTTAACAGCTGGCAGATTGATGATTATGACGGTAGGTTGCATAGAGGTCTTGTTAGGATGTACTCTGGGCTTGGTATTATGGATTCTGCTCGCAATGTGTTTGAAAGTAATTTGAAAGACTCTGATGATCAGTGTTTCAATTCCATGATAAATGGTTATGTTCGGGCCGGTCAGTTGGCTAGAGCTCAAGAGTTGTTTGACATGGTACCCACTCGGAACAAGGTTGCATCGACTTGCATGATTGCTGGCTATCTTAGCGCTGGCCGAGTACTGGAGGCTTGGAATTTGTTTAATGACATGCCTGATAGGGATTCCATTGCGTGGACTGAGATGATTTATGGGTATGTACAGAATGAGCTCATTGCTGAAGCCTTCTGCTTATTTTCTGACATGATGGATCGTGGTGTTTCTCCTATGAGTTCTACATATGCTATTCTATTCGGAGCTATGGGTTCAGTTGCATATCTAGATCAGGGGCGGCAATTACATGGTATGCAGTTTAAGACTGTGAATGAAGATGATTTGATTCTTGAGAACTCTCTAATTGCAATGTACGCAAAATGTGGGGAGATAGATGATGCATATAGGGTATTCTCTAACATGACTTGCCGGGACAAAATTTCTTGGAACTCCATGATCATGGGTCTTTCAGATCATGGCAGGGCCAGTGAAGCTATAAAAGTGTATGAAACTATGATTGAACTTGGAATTTACCCAGATGACCTTACATTCCTAGGTGTCCTGACAGCATGTGCTCATGTGGGTCTTGTTGACAAAGGACGGGAGTTTTTTATTGCCATGGTCAATGCTTTTGCTATTCAACCTAGGTTGGAGCATTGTATCAGTATTATCAATCTTCTGGGTCGAGCAGGAAAGGTGAAGGATGCAGAGGAGTTTGTTTCGAAGCTTCCTGTTGAACCAAATCAGGCCGTTTGGGGGGCTCTAATTGGAGTGTGTGGCTTGAGTAAAAATGATACAGATGTTGCTACGCGTGCAGCCAAACGACTGTTTGAATTGGATCCTTTAAATGCGCCTGGGCATGTGGCCCTTTGTAACATATATGCCGCAAATGATAGGCATATCGAGGAGATGAGATTAAGAAAAGAAATGAGGTTGAAGGGTGTGAGGAAGGCACCCGGATGTAGTTGGATATTGGTGAAGGGGACAGTTCATATTTTCTTCCCGGACGATAAATTGCATGCATGTTTTTAAGAGGTAAGAGGTGTTATTTGCAATTATCTAAATAGGACACTTGGCTTCCTGATGACTTTGGGCCCAAGCCCAAACTCCATTCAAGAGTCCATCACTAGTAGCATGGTGAAAAAGCTCTAAGAAAGATTTAAAGATATATCAAAAGAGGGAGAAGTGAAGCAAATCTTCACTTAGAAGAAGCCGGACTCGCCCAGCGGACCATGAACCTCACCCACCGAGCTGGCGCCCAGCGAACATCAACCTGCGCCCAGCACTGACGAAGAACACTGCATCTACGTTTTGTAGCTTGGTCTCCACGTGTTTGATTCATGTAAAACTTGGCTATACACATGTATTTTGAACCGTGAAGGGGTCCTGATCATCAGGAGCACCTAAGGCAGCGTGGAGAGGGATGAATGCTTCTATAAATTCACCTCTCTCCCCCCCTGTACACACTTTGAGTTTTTTGTAATGAATAGTTGTTGAGATGACTCAGCCTCATTCTACTCTTAGTCACCGGCCAAAGAGAGACCTCAGCCTCCTCTAGCCACCCTTAGTTAGGAACCCTAGCTAAGCACCAAGACACTCCATCACATACCAAACACCTTCACCGAGCTTTTCCCTTCATCTTACTTTGCCTTCTGCTGCATTCATCGCAGTTCTGTTTGTTCACGTTTCATCATAGCTCTAATCTAGTCTTGGAGTAGATCTATTTTATTTAGCCACCAAACACCGCTTCACTTCTACTTCTAAGAATCATTTCCGCTGCGTCTATATACTGGAAGATGCCTCTGGAGGTCTCGTTAGTTCTGTATCTGAAATCACCAGGAGCGTCTTCCATCATGTGGTATCTGAGCCTGGTTGAGCACCACGCGTTTCAGCTAAGTGTTTCCTTTGTCAAGCCGTGTTGTCTATTTCATTTTCTGAATTGTCTTGCTGTTCTGAGTTTTTGTTCTCTGTTTCATGGAGTTTGTTCGGTTAATTAGGCTTCCGTATTCTTGTTGAAGGTTTATTGTGTTTGAGCAAGTTGTTTTATCATTTTATTCGGTGGAATCCTGTGTTTGAGTCATTTTTAGTTCTTGAATCAAATTCTGTCATGTTCTATTTCATGTGCATTGTTATTCGGTGCATTGCTTTTCTTGTGATATTTCTGAAGTTTAAGTGAATCAGTCTTAATTTCAGTTCAATCATTAATACTGCACTGATTAAGTTCTGTTCACCACATATAAGCTGTGACATTTGGTTAAATGAGCTTGGTGGCAGATTTCAGTGGTAGAGATAATGAATTTCATGTTTCATGAATCTGTTTTTAATTTTATTTCATTGAAGTCTAGAACATTTGAATTTGAATCCTGCCTAGTAACTAGCAAGTGCATACCAAGTGAGCAATGAAAGGCTCAGCCTAACTCGGTTGCACATTGTTAATCAGCAGAATTGCCTTTTTGGCCAATTACACCTAGCTGGGAATTCTTTGAAGTCAGGTTGAGTCTTACTCCATGCTTAGCACTAGATCATAAGCGTAATCAATTTCTAGAGTCATTCGTGAGCTGTTTTCGTGATTCAAATTCAAATCTGCAGAATTGGTTGCAAAGTGAATTCTATTTCTGCACTTTCGCTGTCATTAAGTTTGATTTTCAGAATCTGTATTTGTGAACGAGATTCTGTCATACCAGTGAGCCTAGCAAAGCCAATTTTCGAATATTAAGGCGCTATTATGGTCAGATATACTTTATTGGTGCTAGAATCAAAAGTGACTTGCAAAACCAATTTATGCGTGCAATTATTTTATTTCCAGTTGAACCATTAGGTGCTATGATTTTTATTTCCAGTTGAACCATTAGGTGCTGATGATCTGCGTTGTTTCTTCTTCTAAGGTGAACTGTAGTAAAAGCTATAGTCATTGTAATGTTATCATTTAAGTTGTTAAAATTGACGTGGCAAAGTTTAAAAGCAAAACAGACTTGTGCAGTTCACCGTACTGACGTCTGAATCCAAAATTGAAAATCTGCAGAATCACATAGTTCATTGAGGCATTTTATCAAACAGTTTGGTCTTTCTATTTATAAGTCAATTCTGTCCAGTATTGGTTCAACTTAACTTGTTTTCTTGCTTTTTTTAATCTGTTCTAGAGCTGATCATAGGTTCTATTTGAGTGCCATCTTGTTTGTAAACCCTTTTTCGTTGCTTGTCTTATTGAAATTCTTGTTTTGTCAAATAGTGAAATCTGTTTCAGCTTCAAATTTTCTTATCGGTGCACTGTTCCATTGGTCATTTTTAGCTTGGTTTGTGGTNTCTGTTTACTGTGAATTTTATATGTTAATATCTGTTAAATAAGAGTATTTTTTTTAGCAATCTAGATGGACAGATATCAAAATTACACTAATTCATGTTTTTAAATTTCAGGTAAAATTATCTTGTATATTAGGAGTTATATATTTAGGGTCACCCAAAAATTTTAACCATCTTAAATTTTATGTGACTTCCTAAAAAAATGTTGGTCTCTACATTTGAATCTGGTTCACCATATACTATAAAATCACATAATCACTTTGGTTCCACAGTGTAGTAGAAAATCATCTGATATTTTTTAAGTGCAATAGGCAAATTATTACATCTTGTCAAATGGTGTGTATGACTATTATTAAAGTATGATAATGCAAAATAAAATCACCATTAAGTAAGATTTTATTTGCCTAACGTGGTTTAATAGCTTTTAATTAGGTAAAAAGAAAAAAAAAATCACAACATGATCTTTTTTATAAGACATAATGATAAAAATGTGCAAATAAAAATCATAAAATATTGAACAGATAAATTTAAATGCACAAAATAATTTGATTAATTTGTATCGTTGTGTGTTATAATAAGTTGCAATTTTTAGAATTTATTATGACAATAATATTCTTTTATCATAACTGTTTTCTATTATTTTTTATTATAAATATATTTATCAGATTAAAACAGTTTATCATTATTTAAATTTTAATGTTTTAATATATAATAACATATCTTTTAGTATTTTTGTAACTTATTGTAATTTTAATGATACTTATATTTGATGTTATTTTAATATAGTAGAGTGAAGTAGTAGTATTTAAATGAATTATTTTATATATTAAACAAATATCTACATTTTATATTTAAGTTTAATGTTAATGAGTTGGCTGATAAGTTTTTCATCATTAAACTCTTGAAAATATTTGTATAATAATTTAAATTATTATGTTGTAAAGGCTTTTAATATAATTTTTTATATAATAAATTTTAGTTAATATATTGTAAGCTTTTTTAACTATAGCGTAAGAATTTTGTATTAATTTATTTAAATCTATTATATTTAAAAGCTGTTTCCTATTTACTATTTTGCTATTAATATTCATGTTTGGTTGAGATTCTTGAAAGAATTGAATGAATATAAATATAAATACAGGTATGAATGTATATAAATAGGTTTAAATTGGATATAGGAAACTGTCTCTCGATCTCTATCTTAATTTAAATTACAATAATTTATTAAACAATTTAAACTTTGTGAATATATCATTTCTTGATTCTAGTTTCATAACATTTTTTTTCCAAAATTTTTTTCCAAATTTAAATTGGATAGGAAACATCTCTTACTTGAAAATTATCTATCACCTGCATATTTTTTTTCCAAATTTTCTTAAAACAACAATTTATAAAATATACTTGTAATTTTTATTGTGAAATATTCTTCATAAAAACATCTATAATTTTTTTTGAATTATTCATTTCACACTGACCAAAAACAAAGCATTTAATGTATGCAAAAGAAAAAGATAGGTCTTAAATAGGTTACTTTTATATTAGGGGAGCTCATGTGCTTTTGCTTCCTCTTCCTTTGTAGAGACTTTCCTGACAGACTCACAAAATTGGTAAAACAAAACAAAGTAAATTTCAGATTGCAACACTAGCCAGTATCCAGAATTATACAGCAAGAACATGCAATTCCCACAAAACATCTTTAAGGTAAACTCAACTCATGCCAGCTAAAGTCTGGAAAATTGAACTCTGTCCATCCAAAACTACCTAGACAAAGCTGATCACTAATGCCAAGAGTGATCTTCTACAATAGGTTAACTTGTATGCATAAGACTTTTAACTGATAAGCAACACCTTAATGCTGTATAATATAGGCCAACAACTTCATGTTTGCAGTGTTAAGCACTTAATATGAATATTAAATAGGTTACATATGATAAATACTCAGCGAGATTCTGATTACATATTTACTGTTAATTAATTCTTGGTAAAAAGATTTTCGGTCTAAGAAAAGTTGGTAAACAAGTGGTTGGTTTAAAGTAGTCTAAAATTTAGAAGGCAAAGGGGAATTAACAAGCTGAATCAACAATAGGATTTATAATCAAATCTAGATTATTTATTTGAATCCTACATTTTTTTAAAATAAAATAATAGTAATAATAATATAATAATAGTTCCGCACAGCAGTTTACTGAATAAATTAAGCTGCAAGGAAAGGAAAATCAAATTCAAACCAAGTTAAGAGCCTAGGATTAGTTTTACTAGTATACATAAAAAACAACAAATAAATGATAGTGAGGGTTTAGAAGTGGTTTTAGCCTTGAGGAACCAAGTAATGAGTTTTTATGTGGTTTTGGAGGGCTTAGGGACAAACATGGTAGGTGTTATCGAATTTATCGTACATGAAGCGAGTGACGATGCTGGTTTTTCCCACCAATTGGTCACCCAAGAACACCAACATAGCTAAAGCTGAAACAGGAGCCATTTCAAAATCGAAAACGAAAGCAAAAGGAGGAATCGGAAGAAGCTGAGAAAAAACCCGATGGTTAGTGAATCCGGACATGCTGCGTCACCATTCTTCAATCTTCGTGCGGATTTTGACATGTTCAGTTCGCAGTGTGCGTTATGTCTATGGCACCAACCATTCCCAATGCGAATGCGACGAGCCTCTGCTCCTACACTACTTATCCAATGGCTGCCACCACGAAGCGCGAAACCTCCTTCAAAGTTCCTCCCGAGGTGACCTTCACGCACGCGTGGTTCGCTGGACCAAGCTACTCTCCAACTTCTCCCGCCATGGTTACGTGGCCGAAGCTCGCGCATTGTTCGACATAATGCCTCACAAAAACCTCGTCACTAGCAATACCATGTTGACAGCGTACATGCGCTCCGGCTTGCTCGACGAGGCTTCCCGGTTCTTCGAGACCATGCTGGAGAAGAACGTTGTTTCTTGGACTGCCATGCTATGTGGGTTTTCAGATGCGGGGAGGATCAAAGATGCGAGGAAGGTGTTCGATGTAATGCCTGAGAGGAATGTTGTTTCGTGGAACGCGATGGTGGTGGCGTTGCTTAGGAGTGGGAATTTGGAGGATGCGAGGATGGTTTTTGAGAAGACTCCTTTCAAGAATGTGATTTCGTGGAATGCTATGATTGCGGGGTATGCTGAGAGTGGTAGAATGGACGAGGCTAGAGAATTGTTTGGGAAGATGGAGTTTAAGAATGTGATTACTTGGACTAGCATGATATCTGGTTATTGCCGTGAGGGTGATGTTGAAGGTGCTTATTGTTTGTTCCGGGCTATGCCGGAGAAAAACATTGTTTCTTGGACTGCTATGATTGGTGGGTTTGCTTGGAATGGCTTGTATGAAGAGGCATTGCAGCTTTTTATTGAGATGGTGAGAGTTTCTGATGCCCAACCCAACACAGAGACCTTTGTTTCTCTTGTTTATGCTTGTGGAGGTTTGGGTTTTTGTTGCCTTGGCAAACAGGTACATGCTCAGCTTATTGTTAACAGTTGGGGGATTGATGATTATGACGGTAGGTTGCATAGAGGTCTTGTTAGGATGTACTCTGGGCTTGGTATTATGGATTCTGCTCGCAATGTGTTTGAAAGTAATTTGAAAGACTCTGATGATCAGTGTTTCAATTCCATGATAAATGGTTATGTTCGGGCCGGTCAGTTGGCTAGAGCTCAAGAGTTGTTTGACATGGTACCCACTTGGAACAAGGTTGCATCGACTTGCATGATTGCTGGCTATCTTAGCGCTGGCCGAGTACTGGAGGCTTGGAATTTGTTTAATGACATGCCTGATAGGGATTCCATTGCGTGGACTGAGATGATTTATGGGTATGTTCAGAATGAGCTCATTGCTGAAGCCTTCTGCTTATTTTCTGACATGATGGATCGTGGTGTTTCTCCTATGAGTTCTACATATGCTATTCTATTCGGAGCTATGGGTTCAGTTGCATATCTAGATCATGGGCGGCAATTACATGGTATGCAGTTTAAGACTGTGAATGAAGATGATTTGATTCTTGAGAACTCTCTAATTGCAATGTACGCAAAATGTGGGGAGATAGATGATGCATATAGGGTATTCTCTAACATGACTTTCCGGGACAAAATTTCTTGGAACTCCATGATCATGGGTCTTTCAGATCATGGCAGGGCCAGTGAAGCTATAAAAGTGTATGAAACTATGATTGAACTTGGAATTTACCCAGATGACCTTACATTCCTAGGTGTCCTGACAGCATGTGCTCATGTGGGTCTTGTTGACAAAGGACGGGAGTTTTTTATTGCCATGGTCAATGCTTTTGCTATTAAACCTAGCTTGGAGCATTGCATCAGTATTATCAATCTTCTGGGTCGAGCAGGAAAGGTGAAGGATGCAGAGGAGTTTGTTTCGAAGCTTCCTGTTGAACCAAATCATGCCGTTTGGGGGGCTCTAATTGGAGTGTGTGGCTTGAGTAAAAATGATACAGATGTTGCTACGCGTGCAGCCAAACGACTGTTTGAATTGGATCCTTTAAATGCGCCTGGGCATGTGGCCCTTTGTAACATATATGCCGCAAATGATAGGCATATCGAGGAGATGAGATTAAGGAAAGAAATGAGGTTGAAGGGTGTGAGGAAGGCACCCGGATGTAGTTGGATATTGGTGAAGGGGACAGTTCATATTTTCTTCCCGGACGATAAATTGCATGCATGTTTTTAAGAGGTAAGAGGTGTTATTTGCAATTATCTAAATAGGACACTTGGCTTCCTGATGACTTTGGGTCCAAGCCCAAACTCCATTCAAGAGTCCATCACTAGTAGCATGGTGAAAAAGCTCTAAGAAAGATTTAAAGATATATCAAAAGAGGGAGAAGTGAAGCAAATCTTCACTTAGAAGAAGCCGGACTCGCCCAGCGGACCATGAACCTCACCCAGCGAGCTGGCGCCCAGCGAACATCAACCTGCGCCCAGCACTGACGAAGAACACTGCATCCACGTTTTGTAGATTGGTCTCCACGTGTTTGATTCATGTAAAACTTGGCTATACACATGTATTTTGAACCGTGAAGGGGTCCTGATCATCAGGAGCACCTAAGGCAGCGTGGAGAGGGATGAATGCTTCTATAAATTCACCTCTCTCCCCCCCTGTACACACTTTGAGTTTTTTGTAATGAATAGTTGTTGAGATGACTCAGCCTCATTCTACTCTTAGTCACCGGCCAAAGAGAGACCTCAGCCTCCTCTAGCCACCCTTAGTTAGGAACCCTAGCTAAGCACCAAGACACTCCATCACATACCAAACACCTTCACCGAGCTTTTCCCTTCATCTTACTTTGCCTTCTGCTGCATTCATCGCAGTTCTGTTTGTTCACGTTTCATCATAGCTCTAATCTAGTCTTGGAGTAGATCTATTTTATTTAGCCACCAAACACCGCTTCACTTCTACTTCTAAGAATCATTTCCGCTGCGTCTATATACTGGAAGATGCCTCTGGAGGTCTCGTTAGTTCTGTATCTGAAATCACCAGGAGCGTCTTCCATCATGTGGTATCTGAGCCTGGTTGAGCACCACGCGTTTCAGCTAAGTGTTTCCTTTGTCAAGCCGTGTTGTCTATTTCATTTTCTGAATTGTCTTGCTGTTCTGAGTTTTTGTTCTCTGTTTCATGGAGTTTGTTCGGTTAATTAGGCTTCCGTATTCTTGTTGAAGGTTTATTGTGTTTGAGCAAGTTGTTTTATCATTTTATTCGGTGGAATCCTGTGTTTGAGTCATTTTTAGTTCTTGAATCAAATTCTGTCATGTTCTATTTCATGTGCATTGTTATTCGGTGCATTGCTTTTCTTGTGATATTTCTGAAGTTTAAGTGAATCAGTCTTAATTTCAGTTCAATCATTAATACTGCACTGATTAAGTTCTGTTCACCACATATAAGCTGTGACATTTGGTTAAATGAGCTTGGTGGCAGATTTCAGTGGTAGAGATAATGAATTTCATGTTTCATGAATCTGTTTTTAATTTTATTTCATTGAAGTCTAGAACATTTGAATTTGAATCCTGCCTAGTAACTAGCAAGTGCATACCAAGTGAGCAATGAAAGGCTCAGCCTAACTCGGTTGCACATTGTTAATCAGCAGAATTGCCTTTTTGGCCAATTACACCTAGCTGGGAATTCTTTGAAGTCAGGTTGAGTCTTACTCCATGCTTAGCACTAGATCATAAGCGTAATCAATTTCTAGAGTCATTCGTGAGCTGTTTTCGTGATTCAAATTCAAATCTGCAGAATTGGTTGCAAAGTGAATTCTATTTCTGCACTTTCGCTGTCATTAAGTTTGATTTTCAGAATCTGTATTTGTGAACGAGATTCTGTCATACCAGTGAGCTTAGCAAAGCCAATTTTCGAATATTAAGGCGCTATTATGGTCAGATATACTTTATTGGTGCTAGAATCAAAAGTGACTTGCAAAACCAATTTATGCGTGCAATTATTTTATTTCCAGTTGAACCATTAGGTGCTATGATTTTTATTTCCAGTTGAACCATTAGGTGCTGATGATCTGCGTTGTTTCTTCTTCTAAGGTGAACTGTAGTAAAAGCTATAGTCATTGTAATGTTATCATTTAAGTTGTTAAAATTGACGTGGCAAAGTTTAAAAGCAAAACAGACTTGTGCAGTTCACCGTACTGATTGTCTGAATCCAAAATTGAAAATCTGCAGAATCACATAGTTCATTGAGGCATTTTATCAAACAGTTTGGTCTTTCTATTTATAAGTCAATTCTGTCCAGTATTGGTTCAACTTAACTTGTTTTCTTGCTTTTTTTAATCTGTTCTAGAGCTGATCATAGGTTCTATTTGAGTGCCATCTTGTTTGTAAACCCTTTTTCGTTGCTTGTCTTATTGAAATTCTTGTTTTGTCAAATAGTGAAATCTGTTTCAGCTTCAAATTTTCTTATCGGTGCACTGTTCCATTGGTCATTTTTAGCTTGGTTTGTGGTGTCTTTCACTTCCTTGTGTTGCAGATTTGGGTGCTTGCAAGAATCCAAACCTAAGGTAGTATCTTAGGGTGTGGAGGCTGGCTTCACTCTCNTGACATTTGGTTAAATGAGCTTGGTGGCAGATTTCAGTGGTAGAGATAATGAATTTCATGTTTCATGAATCTGTTTTTAATTTTATTTCATTGAAGTCTAGAACATTTGAATTTGAATCCTGCCTAGTAACTAGCAAGTGCATACCAAGTGAGCAATGAAAGGCTCAGCCTAACTCGGTTGCACATTGTTAATCAGCAGAATTGCCTTTTTGGCCAATTACACCTAGCTGGGAATTCTTTGAAGTCAGGTTGAGTCTTACTCCATGCTTAGCACTAGATCATAAGCGTAATCAATTTCTAGAGTCATTCGTGAGCTGTTTTCGTGATTCAAATTCAAATCTGCAGAATTGGTTGCAAAGTGAATTCTATTTCTGCACTTTCGCTGTCATTAAGTTTGATTTTCAGAATCTGTATTTGTGAACGAGATTCTGTCATACCAGTGAGCTTAGCAAAGCCAATTTTCGAATATTAAGGCGCTATTATGGTCAGATATACTTTATTGGTGCTAGAATCAAAAGTGACTTGCAAAACCAATTTATGCGTGCAATTATTTTATTTCCAGTTGAACCATTAGGTGCTATGATTTTTATTTCCAGTTGAACCATTAGGTGCTGATGATCTGCGTTGTTTCTTCTTCTAAGGTGAACTGTAGTAAAAGCTATAGTCATTGTAATGTTATCATTTAAGTTGTTAAAATTGACGTGGCAAAGTTTAAAAGCAAAACAGACTTGTGCAGTTCACCGTACTGATTGTCTGAATCCAAAATTGAAAATCTGCAGAATCACATAGTTCATTGAGGCATTTTATCAAACAGTTTGGTCTTTCTATTTATAAGTCAATTCTGTCCAGTATTGGTTCAACTTAACTTGTTTTCTTGCTTTTTTTAATCTGTTCTAGAGCTGATCATAGGTTCTATTTGAGTGCCATCTTGTTTGTAAACCCTTTTTCGTTGCTTGTCTTATTGAAATTCTTGTTTTGTCAAATAGTGAAATCTGTTTCAGCTTCAAATTTTCTTATCGGTGCACTGTTCCATTGGTCATTTTTAGCTTGGTTTGTGGTGTCTTTCACTTCCTTGTGTTGCAGATTTGGGTGCTTGCAAGAATCCAAACCTAAGGTAGTATCTTAGGGTGTGGAGGCTGGCTTCACTCTCTGAATTTGGTGGCTGTACTTAAAACAAGTATTTTTCTTAAAACGAATTAAACAAACCCACCCAAGATAATCTCAAAGTTGGAAAGTTAACCCTTATGAGAATTATCACTAAATGTTGATTTGTAGAGGAAAATCAGCACAAATTATTCATCAAACCATTTATAAAGCACTCACTTAAACCCAGAAGCTACCATAAGAAGTTTAGTGCCAAATCGCTCACAGTGCTGACACGAGTGGGCAACCAAAAAGCTACGTGTCATTACACCGCAACGTGTCATTACAAGATTACAGCGTAATAATGTATAGAATTTAGATTTAGATAGCACCTCTGCATTCAACATATGCATATGCTACGTTTTTTAAAAAGAAGATCAAAACCGAGTCTTACACAGAGAAGAAGCTCAAATGTCTGCAGCTCAGGTTGATCCTCACGACAAAATGAGGGCGAGGGATGTGAACAAAGTTGCGCGAGGTGAGCAAGCTCCAAGACCCGCTCATCAATACGGCACGGTTTCTCCCCCCTCTTCAACCCACACTAACGACGATACCAAGAACAAAATCAAGGTAAAACCTATACGCGTTTCTTCTTTAACTTCTTCACAAAAATTTTAAAAACAAAAACTGGGGCAATACATTAGAAAAATCGCTGTTGTTATTCAAACTGAAGTTTATATCTAAGAAAATTGCTTCTTTCAAATTTAATTTTTACGCAGAGTTATTTTTTAATTATTTAATCCGTTTGGACTTATATGAACAATTTGTGATTCAACCATAGCATCTTTTTTGTTGGAAGTCTCAGGCCAATTTATAATATATTACAAGCCGGTTCAATTTATAATATATTATTTTTGTGGCTGTGGGATCACTTATACTTAAAGTTCACTTTCTAACATTCTTTATCAGAGCATTTTTCTCATTTAAAATTTACTTTTCAGCATAAACTAAAAGGCCTTTTTTCTAATTCAGACAGTTTTTTTTTTCTCCATTTTTTGATTGAGTGATACGAAGAAAACTATTTGTTTACGGCTGTAGCATATTATGCTTAGTTAGGTTTTTTAACTGTGCAAAAAACAGGAGAGAAAGTCAGGGATAGCAGAAAACGGTGCCGAATCAGCCGAGAGCACTGATTATAAAATTTGTTATGTAAAATATGTGGAGTATCACAGGTAAGTCAAAATGCTTTTGTATAGCCATGGAATCACAATTCGGAAAGAACCAATTGCCATATTATGCAAACTATATTCAGATATCTAATTCAGCAGTTTGTGTGGTTTAATCAGATGCATTCAACAAGAAGGCGAAAAGGCATCAAAATGCCAGAAACTAGGCACATATTTTAGGTCCTTCTGTCAACCTGAATGGGTGAGTTCTGAGCAATAATTGGAAATCCAAAACAGTCTTCTTAACTTAATTACCGATTAATAGAAATAATTTTGGTTTGATCATCATCGTGGTGACAGTCTGTAGTGTGGATCATCATCTTTTTCTTTTTGTTGTTTTGCAGATAACAGAATGGGATAGAGAGAGAAAAGAGGGAAAGTTCCCTGCACAAATCTAGCCATGAGCATATCCCTCTCTTTTGTTAGGAAAAAGTTGCTAATTTACCTTTGGCAAATAAGTAAGATAACAATGAATCTTCTTTCTGTATTGTGTTTTCGTTTTCTTTCTCTGAATATAACATGTCATTACATTACTGATGCACCAGAACTTATTTGGTGGACTGATATACATACTACACTAACTCATGTTTTTAAATTTAAGATAAAATTATCTTATATCTTAGGAGTTATATAGGTCTCGTAAGAGAATCTGGCTCAGATGAGAACCTGACTTCACATTTTGGCTCTAAGGTGTAGTAGAAAATCATCTTATATTTTTTAAGTGCAACAGGGAAATTGTTACATCTTGTCAAATGGTGTGTATGAGTATGACTATTATTAAAGTATGATACATAAATATGGATTTAAGGGAAAAATTGCATAAACAAAAATGCTAAATAAAATCACCATTAAGTAAGATTTTACTTGCCTCACGTGGTTTAATAGTTTTAATTAGATAAAAAAAAATGGTCCTGTTTATAAGACATAATGATAAAAATGTGGAAATAAAAATCATAAAATATTGAACAGATAAACTGAAATGTACAAAATAATTTGATTGTTGTGTGTTATAATAAGTACCAATTTTTAGAATTTATTGTGACAATAATTATTTTTTATCATAACTGTTTTCTATTATTTTTTTATTATAAATATATTGATCAAATTAAAACAGGTTATAATTAATTAAATTTTAATGTTTAATATATGATAACATGTATTTTAGTATTTATGTAACTTATTCTAATTTTTAATTATATTTATATTTGATGTTGTTTTAATCTAATAGTGTCAAGTAGTAGTACTTAAATGAATTATTTTATATATTAAACAAATATCTCCATTTTATGTTTGAGTTTAATTTTAATGGTTAGTTTTCAATCATTAAACTCTCGAAAATATTTATATAAAAAATTTAAATTACTATGTAAGGCTTCGAATATAATTTTTATATAATAATTTTTAGTTAATATATAGTGTAATAAATTTGTATTAATTTATTTAAATATTTTATATTTAAAATTT